TTTTTTTTACAAGATTTTGGATTTCAATCTTTTTTTAGTCTGTGAAGTTGTAAGCCTAGATAGATCTAAGGATGAGCTATCATTTGCCGCTTGGAGAGAGGGGTACCTAACACCTTCCCTTTCTCAATCCAAGTGAATTTAAAAACTCTTGGTTGAGTGTGCTTCATAGGTGGAGAAATGAAGTCACTATATTCAAAATAAAATCAACTTTTCAAAGCTTATAGAGGACCTATTTCCTCTTAAAATTAAATGGGTGGAAACTCCTTATTTTGAACCAGTCATGAGCTTCTCGGAGCTAACATTCGTTGTTCATATTTTATCTATGCTTGTATAGTTAGTAGTTTGCTAGCTGTGAAGGTTTGGATAGCACTTGCAAGTCTGTCCAGTGAATATATCTTGTTAGTACCTATAAGTCTGACTATTATAAAAGGTTTTGTTAGCACCTAGAAGTCCAACTGGTGTAAGGTTTTGTTGGCACTCAGAAGTCCAACTAGTATAGTAGAAATTCTCAGGTGGTGTGCCCGAGGAATGGACATAGGCTGGGTTTGGTCAAACCTCTATAAACTCTATGTGTGTATGTGTGCATTCTATTATTCTTGCCTTTGCTCTTGATAATTCTTGTTGTCTTTCATACTTAAACTTGCAATGTTTTCATATACTGCACTTTACATTGTAGAACCCAATTTACCTCCCCCCACCATTTGTTAGGCTATGTAGGTAATAAAATGTTCCCACATCCCCTTAATATTATTGCCTCCTTATATAAGACAGGGAGCTCTAGAATTGTAATTATTCCAAAGCCTAGAGTAAGTCAATCGAACCCTCAAGAGTGGAAGTTAAACTGCAACTTCTAGTGCCCAATAGATCCGGACTAAAGAGTTGTAAGAGTTGCATATTGAGTGGAATAACTTGGGTTGATTGGGTTGATGCATTCAAGGGAGAATTTCAAATTGTTCTTTATCTTAAAATGTGGGGATTAGCAATTTACAAGTATGAATTAAAAGAAAAATTAAAATAGTCAGATTCCATGGAAATCTTAGGTAAATTATGAAATTGATTGATTTAGTTTGCTATTATTTCACTTTCGATGTTTTGGTAAAGAAAGGGGTTCCAAATAGATATACAAACCTAATTAAAGATATCTAAGAGGACATAACAAGCAACTTAGGAAACATGTGGAAGAAACATTAAATTTTTCAATTACAAACAGTCTTCACCATAGTCCATTACTTAGCCCTTGTATAATTGCATTGCATTGGTCATAAATGAATTGATTAAACATATTTAGGTGGATATCCCATGGTGCATGTTGTTTCCTAACAACATTTTTTAATTGATGAAACTAATATAGGACTAAATGCAAGATTACATTTATGGACAAAATCCTTATAAATGAGAGGTTTTAAAGTAAGAATGACCGAGAATATATGATTTGTAAATTACATATTAATAGGAGTGGTAATCAAGATAAACTTAAGATTGGAGACCATGAGATAACTCAATGTGACATTTTCTAGAATGTTTGTTAGATAATCCATAACAAGGGAGAGATTGAAGTGGATGTCGCTCATAGAATTAGAGAAGGATTGATTAAATAGAGGGATGCATTCAAAATCTTATGTGATAGGCAAATACCATTTAAATTAAAAAGAATGTTCTAAAACATAGTTGTAAGGCCAGCTATGTTGTATGGATTAGAGTGTGCTCAGCCAAAGAAACATGTCCAAAGAATGAATGTGGAAGAAATACATTAAAATAGATAAGTGGAAAAATTAGAAAGATAGTGTCAAAAGAAGTCATTCAAAGGATCCTATGAATAGCTCCGATAGGTAATAAAATGAGAGAAAGTAGAGTATAATGATTTGGTCAATGAAGACCTTTGACAGCACTGATAAGAAGTGATCTATTGCATGTTGAAAGGAGCTAGGAGCCTATAAGGGGTATGGGCAGACCAAAACGGACATGAGTTGAAGTAGTAAGAAATTGTTTAAGTGTTGATAATTTAATAATAAATATATCATTAAATAGAACTAAATGGTGAAACAGGTTTCATGTAGCCAACTCCACAAAGTGGGGATAAGGCTTGGATGATGATGTGACCTACAAAGACAAACTTATTTTGCACATTTGGTGATGTATTTTGACCTGCAACTTTGGATTTTGTATTGGGGTTTTGTTTGATTCAATAATAACTTTTTTCTTTTTATTTTACGATATATCATTACTAATTTTCTATGTTTTTCAGTTACAAGCATATCTAAAGTGCTCGATGGCAATAACAAAATTAACAGAAAACCTCCCAGAAAATGGTGAATAAGGTGTAAACAAGATTTAAAGTGTCCAAAATGCAATGTTAAAATATTTATCAACATGCACTTTGGATATGCATGGATAATGTGGAAAAGTTAAGACATGCTTGGACAAACATGAATACATTGGAGAAACTCAAATAAGTTTAAGAAGTTAAATCAACAACATTAAATTTAGGTCGAAGGTGATTATAAATTAAGAAAACACACTTCAGTAGTTTAGCTAGGAAACAATTAAGAATTGTTGAAAATGATAAAATAACTAAGGCTCTGTTTGGTTTCTAGAATAGGTGCTTGGAATCAGAATCGAAATGGCCCATTCCAATTCCTACTTTTCATTTGGCAGGAATGGGATTCCGATTCCCCATTCCCCCATATGAGGGAATGGCCATTCCAGGCCCCCTAGGGAATGAGATTCCCATTCTAGAGTCTGTCAAGAAGTAAAAAGCTCAAGAAAAAAAAGCCCCTCAAACCGTAACATTAATAAAATAATAAAATATTATTAAATGAATAATAAAAAATAATAATATATTAATAATAAAATAATAAATTATTAACAAAATATTAGTAAATAGCAATAAAATAATAGTACTATAATAAAATATTAATAAATTAATAATAACAAATAAAGATATTAATTAATAATAAAGTATAAATCAAATATTAATACAATATAATTAAAGTAATAATAAAATATGAGTATATTAACAGTTAAAATAATAACAAAATATTAGTAAACTATTCATAAAATAATAATACTATAACAAAATATTAATAAATTAATAATAAAAATCAAATATATTATTTATTAAATAATAATAAATTAATTTGAAAATAATAAACAAAAATAGTAGAAATTAATAAACTAAAAAGAATAACAATAAAATATCATAAATTAATATAAATACTAAGATATTAATACAGTAATAATAACAAAGTACTAATAAAATGATAATTATATATTCATAAAGTATTAATAAAGTAATATTAAAATAATAAATAGTCTAAAGCAAAATTTAAAATTTTCAATTGATTCCAATTCAAACTCCCAATGAACCAAACATCAACAATCGGAATCTGATTCCGATTCTTAATTGAACAAAACAGGCATCAGGAATAGGTGATTCTGATCCCGATTCTGGGGGATTTCAATTCTGATTCTAATTCCGATCCTGCCAGCGAACCAAACGGACCCTAATATATGCATGCATTTCTTAATTCAAAGATAAATATAAGCTAACAACTAGGAAATGCATGCATCATTGTTAATATTTATAAATATATAGATTTTAATAATCAATTGGTTATTAAAATTGTTGATAGAAGATAAATGTAAGCTAACATCTAGAGGTCGTAAAATTATAACAAGTTGAAACTGCCAGCTGGCTTGTAGGTAAGATGCTGGTCGTAGCGGAGACTTGGGAATGAATCCCACCTTCACTGGGGTTGGGCTCCCCTGTTGTCGAAGTATAGGATAGTTGTAGAATCCCTTTACAGTTTTTTTTTTTTTTTCATTTTATAACTATAACATGTAGTAGGTATGGTATAGAATTATTGGGGAATAATGGAGAGAGAGAGAGAATGTTAATTATATGAATTACTGAAAAAGAGTAGAAATTAATATAGGAATTGATCAAATTTGAATGGATATTGTCAATAGTCCGATACAGGCATGAAACAGACTAATACATTGAACGTATCAGCCAATACAATTGAACAGATAAATCAGTTAACAGTTAAAAGTGGGGAAGGATGAATTCACATGGAAAAAACGAGCCAGCCAGTCAGCCACGTTGAAGTGTTATAGCCGTACGCGGAGTTACTCTATATCCCATGAGAATGGATGACAGAAGCGCACAACCTCACAATGTTTATGAACAAAATGTGTTCATGTGTGACGGGAATGTGAGGCGAAGTAATAAATTGTAAAGATTGGAGCTCAACAGGTCTAGACAAACCAAGAATCTTTAAAATTTGGCTCAACTCAGGAAAAAGATTCCGATTGATTCAAAGACTAAATCACGATGTAGAATCCTGCTCACCTTATTATAAGGTAGATTAGGAATGAGGAGGTTTAACCAACGTTTAAAATTTTGTAACATATCCCACGATATGTACCGCTTTGGGAAAGGGATGATACAATAAACGCATCGAATTAGATAGTTTCATATTCCTTTTTGGTTTTCTAGTGTATCCATGTATATTCCAATATACCTTGCTTTTCTGATACATGAACCCAATGAAACATATACATTTTTCATGTTGTACATCAAAAGCATGCTCTTCGAAAATGTTCAAAGTATCGACAGACTGATACGCTGATAGGGCATATAGACCTGTATCGGTACTTTTTTAGGTTTTATTTATTTATTTTTTCAAAACCGGTTCAGAGAGATCGGTTTAAGGCTTGACTACCCTCTGAACCAGTGTCTGACCCGATACAACCCCTGGAGAGGCGTATCGGGAAGCCATTTGAACCTTGCTCTTCGATCAAAGAGGCTTGACATCCTTTTTACCGCAGTACAAGTGCGTACAACTGACCAGCAACTGCTCTGTGTCGACCTCAGGAGATCTCCATCAGGATTGCCATGATAGTCATTCGGCTACAACGCATATTTACACTCCAAACATGACAATCAATGAGGCCAACGGCAGTTTAAAGGTTGAAAAATCACAGGAAACATCAATCCAGGTAGAACAAAATATTTATCAAGAGAAAAATATGAAACCTCACCTAGTGAAGTTCAAATTACATAAATATGATTATACACTAATTACTTATATACAGACGTTTATCAAGAAACACAAATGCATGATAGAATCCACCTAAACGGCACTATTGATCTGGTAAGGACCAAGTGCGAAGTGTTTAGTGACAGAAAGCAGTGTCACATACAACCTCAGAAAGAAAAGTGGAACTATGCCATCACTTATCTGATCATTGCCAAGTCCTAAACGAGAATTACCTTTTACAGTAAAATGCATGACAGATAACCATAAATAAACGAGTCCAGACAAGAGTCCTATCTGTTAATTGAAGTTCTAGCAAACAAACAATGGGTATATGTTAGCACCAATCATCCAACAAACCACTTTTTTCAGCATTCAAAATAGTCCAATTCTTTGGTCCTTGACAAAGAAGAGTCTTCCATTCATCCAACTCTATCCGAATTGATGATAATGACCATGGAGTATGTTCTTGTAATAACTTACCATTGCATTTCTTCTGAATCACATAACAGAACTTGCCAATGACAGCTCGTGAAGCTCACTAAGCATCCATTCCTCTCCAGTTTGCCCTCCAAGAACAATAGCCCTCGTTCCCCCAACAATGCATGTACTGTGTCCCCAAGCAAATCTTGGAGGTCGGCCAGGTACATTCAATATCCTCCAAGTTGGCTTCTCATCAGTTGGGTCCAAAAGATAAAGTTGGGACGCAGAGTGAAGACCAGCTACAGACCCACCAAAGATCAAAATCCTGCCACCCGGGAGATTCACTGCTACGTGATCAAGTCGAGGAGGAGGAGCTATACCAGCAGGATTCCCAGTACCAGGCATTGCACTCCCAGTTACACACCTCCAGCATGGTTCCTCTTCACTCAGATCCATTGTGAATACATCGCTTGAACGGAACCTAAGTGAACCACTCTTCGCCAAACCACCAAACATCAATATTTTCCGGCCACCATAGACAGAGAGAGTGTGACCTAACCTACTGGGAGGAGTCCATGATACTGGAATCTCTCTCCAGACAGGTTTCTCCATTGAAAGATCCAGAAGGAAGGTGTCACTGAGAAGTACACCAGAATCAGCACAGCCACCAGAAACTACCAACTTAGACCCATCAAGGGTGCATGAACTGTGCCATGATCTGGGAAGTGGTGGTGCCAATCCAGAGATTTCACGCCAGGTAGGATGCTGTGCATCTAGATCCAGTACAAAAACATCATTAAGTAATCCCTGCCTTCCGCAACCTCCAAATACAACCAAAAGAGATCCATTCACACAAGAAAGAGTGTGACCCCACCGGCCAGGTGGTGGGGAGCTCACTTTGACATGTCGCCACTCTGGGTTACTAGCATTCAAGTCCAATACAAATGTGTCGTTCATTGGTTGCATATTAACCCCCTCCCCTCCAAAAAGAACAACCCGATTTCCAACAGCACATGCACTAAAGTTGCAACGAGAAGGCTCTACAGCACCTCCAACAGTTAATTTCCTCCATGCTGCAGCTTCAAGAGTGGTTAATTCTCTTGCCAGCCGGCCCCAACCTAGCCTTTTTGCCCCAGGCACCGTCTCTAACACACGGGTTGTTTCACTTCCCCATGCATTTTGGCAAACCATTCTCCACAGATCTTCATTCTTTGTTAACTGATAAAGTCGCTTGCAAACAGAACCAACGGATGCTATATCTCTTGGTGTCAAACGTGAGAGTATCTTCAGAGCAAGGACTTCATCACTCAGTTGCAACATACCACAGATCTCTCGACAAACATTTCCATGCCCAATTGGAACAGGACGGCATAACAGATCAGAATGCAGTCTCTCAGATGCTTTGGTAGACTCCTTTGCTGATGATCCAGGCAGTGGACCAAGGTCAAGATTTGCTTCTGTGAAGAATTGGATACCAATAACATGTGTTATTGTATCATCATCACCAAATATTGGGGTCAGCCGCAATCTGTTCATCAAGGGAGAACCATCTTTCCTAAAATTCAAAAGTTCACCTTGGAATTCAACCCCATCCTCAAGGCATCTCCTGATTTCAGAAACAACTGTGGAGTCTACAAGTGGATGCCTCCTTTTTGCAAATGGTCCTCTGTATTGAAGGAAACGGCTGCAAAAAGAACTCACATAATTAGTAGTAAACATATTGTTATGAGCATATATATGTACACACACACACACATGTCAATACAAGCCAAAATGCAACAAATGCACAAACCAATAGGTTTCCAATGAGCAATAGAAATTTTTGCCAAAAATGTCATTCAACCAATAGGTTCTAATAGATGCGCTTTAGGTATTCTGGTACTTCTAGCATTCATGGGGTCTTTAGAAACCATTTTAGATGGTGAGGGGGGGGGTGGGTTTCTCCAAGAAGCTAAACTGAACTATATTGAAGTTAGGTTTCAGTTGTTATCAGCTGGATGTCAGGTGACCTACTTGGACCTTGGGCTTTTAGATTTTAATTAGAGAAGCTAAATTGTTAGAACTTAGAAGGCTCCGTGAACAGCTCATTCAATTGGATACCCAGATAAGCTAACTCCTTGGTCAAATGTCTTGCAAGAGTCCCTGTGGTAGACATGAACTTTCTGATTCTATACAAGACATTTTAGGCTTCCTTTGTCAGCTTTTATACCCTATGATATCCTGTACTATCCCCCAGTATTAGAATTTAACATTAGGGATCTTCATCAATATAATCCCTTTGACAAGTGGAAATGAACAAAAAAGGAACTTATCTAGACAAAACACTACAAGCAAGTGAAGAAAAAAACCACTCAATAGAGAAAGAGAACCTAGAATAGACAAATGACAGATAAATACATGATCAAAAAAAGAAAGCAAAGTTATTGCAGAGGATGTTTTCAAAAGTAAACAAGAGTTTAATCAGTGTTGGTGGTTCATCAGCCACTGGTTGAACCATCCAGCCGGTGAGGTTAAACCTGTGACATCAGAGGATACAGCATATAGCATATAGACACGCATGCATGCAACAAGAATGTCCCTATCTGTTCACAAGTAATCTAGCAAGTACATTAAGCATCTCAACTATCAATTAAACTCAACAAAATTTTATGCAGACAAAACATATCATCTCAATTCAACTCCACAAAGCCACTCTATAAACAGTCATTCAATTATTAAAGTAGATATACTTTGCAACTTTCCTTCATAGGTTTATATGTAAAGGACCAGGCTACATCCAAAATAAGACAAGTAAAACAATGGATGCAGTTTTTTTATTACTAACCAATATAATCAATGTTGTGAGGAGATAACTAATAGTTGTAGTAACAAGTTGTACCTAAGCACTGACTAGTAGACCACAATATAGATGTAATACTGTATGTAAGCAGTGTTTTAAAAGCACAAAGCGCAAAGAGCAATTTGCACCCATGGTGCAAGGCACATGCCTTTTCGAAGTAAGGTGCAAAAATGCCAAAAAATGCAAACAAATTTGCAAAAAAAAAATAATAACCATAAAATTAGTTAAAAATATAAACTTAAATTTTACACAAGTGTTTTAAAAAACCTATTATCTAAAATTAAAATACATAAACATAACATGTAAAACATATTCAAATGAAAGTTAAAAATAAAATCAAACATATAAAATGTATTCAAGCATGTAAAACCTTCAATCTCTTTTTTTCCAATTGCATTACTTCTAATAGCTAATGTGATGTGTTGTCAATTGTTTATGTATTCGGATTTAGTACAAACATATAAAATGTGTTGTCAGTTGCTCTTGCTCATCTTGAAGCAGCAGAGAGAATCCTTCGATATCTAAAGTATTCGGGTACTGGTTTGTTGTTTCAAAAGCATGGACATTTGAAAGTTGAAGTTTATACAGATGCAGATTGGGCTGGATCCCAAAGTGACAGAAAGTCTATCAGTGGCTACT